CTATGAAAGCAGCCAATGCCACACCCACAGTGGCCGAGATTTAACGCGCTGGAGAGGCTGCGCCACCTCAAGAGACCCGGAGTTGAGGGTGATTAACCTTTACAAGCGTATTCACTTCTAACTTTTTTCGATTACACAGATGAGGCAGCATGAAGGAGTGCCTTAGAATCTGATTTTCTAGCCTGTTTTCATGCCTTCTGCAACTATGCTTATTGGAATTGCTCTAATTGCTGAGTTGTAAGCACCTGATCCGCATATACCAGCTCTTAAGGCCAACTATTTAGTTAGTTCTACATACTCCAACAATTGAATTTCGATGAGCTTTTGCTCGACGTCACTTTGTGATGTTTGTGTGCTCTTCTCTACTATTTTTATTTTACTGTAATGTTATGTTCGTTCTGAAGTCACCTGACAAAATCTAATCCAGAAGTATGGAAGTTTCTGATGGGTACGGCATTCTGCAGTGTTTCACTACCAGTGGCTGGATAGTTACATTCTGAAGCATGTTCCATAATGAACTCCAAGATCGCTTCCAACGTAAAACATCATGTCATTATCGAACTTCTTCCAGGAATCCATAAAAAACTTTTGCATGAAATTCTCAATAGGTATCGAATTAATAGTAATTCACTTAGCAGTCACATGTAGTGAGATGTTACCATTTACTGAGCACCTCCTGACTCAAAATCGGCGATTAGTATGCATGTTTGTGCTCCTTTTTTGACATGCTATGGTTACTACAAAAATAAAATGAAATAAAAAAAAGTGTTCATTAAAAGGGCTCACTGTTGCCGTCGTTTTGGCTGTGGCTGAGTGCGAAGACGGAGACAAGTATCAGAAGCTCTTTCATCTGGAAGCAGAAGATCACAGTATCAGTAGATTACAGTAGACACTCAATACAATACAAATATTCCAGTAGACTACAGTAGAATATCGGATGTAGAGGCACTTGTTATCAAAGACAAAATCGGAAGATAGAGGCATATCATATTGAATAGGAGCTAAAATGCGTTGTTGTTTGAGGATCACTGGAGAACTCTATTGAAATGAAAAGTCGACTCTACGGGCATGAGCTCTGCACAGCTGCATTCAAAGCAAGCCAAAGAATGGGTTTGTTTTTCCATCGCATAGGAAAAACATGATGACTCTTTGCAGACCATAGAGGGATGGGAACTCCGAATGTCTTGACTGAACTTAGCGCTCGAATCATGATAGTCTTGTCTCAAAAGTTACTGCACTTCAGGGCTCACTTAGTCAGGCAGAGATTACTGCGGAGCGATCAACGCAAAACCGCTAAACCCAAGGTCAGAAGAGCTACGAAAGGTAATCATAACCATACCATAGACTGAGCGGAATTTGAGATGTAACTTCGGCCTTATCATAAGCTCTCCCCATCACAGCGTGGTCTAATCCTTTGAGAAATTGCGCCGAAAAGTTCCGACTATCTATTTAACTACCTTATCGGATAAGAAGCTTAAAGAGCAGGATAGGAAACCTGCTCTATATGGCCTTCCAAGGAACAACATCCATTTATGTTCCGAACAAAAGAAGAAAATCTTCAGAAAAATCGCAATCGATTTTGCTTGGAACTCTGTTCCATATACACATGTGTGTAGAAACAAAGATACGGAGCAAGCTATATTTCCTCACTTCATTACTCTATCGCCAGCCATGCTACTCAAAGAGGGGAGAGTAATCCCGGTAGCTAATGGAATGCTCACAGAAAGTAAATTTCAGTTCCACTAATGGCTATGGATACACATCTGCCGGATCATATCATCATTTCCAATCTGAACTCAGTACTCAGTAATGAGTTTTTCTACTGATTAACTCACCTGAGAAATATTTTTACACTGATCTTGTCTCCCACTGAAACACTGACTTCGACGCACAGTTTGCAGTGATTCTGAGATATCTGGCTCCAGAGAAGGAAACTTTTGTGCAGAATAGTTCAAATTTGAAGAAGAAATCGAGAGAACTGGCTCTACCAAGGTCGTTTGTCTCCCCGAGAAATTCCCTCGTGCTTTTCGTGAGGGCCACAGATTGATTCTGCTGGGGATACACAGAACCTTTTTCGTAAACTGTGCCTTCGAGCAGATTCATTTGGCCTCTACTGCAAGCTTAACTCGAATCTACAGCTTAGTAGTCGAAATGTTTAAAAACCCTAAAATGTGCAGCCACAGGTGTATGTGTATGCGAAACTTGGCTCGGCAACATGACAGTTGCCAAAGCCATGCATGTCAGGCATCAAACGCTGAGGAGGCATTTTCAAAAATGGCGTTTGACTCAAAGGTCTAACGAAGTCATGACTTAAACATCCTCAGCAGTATGCGTACATTATACACGCAGCCGGCCTGTCGGATTAGACGCAGCATCCCCAGGTGGGTCGTTGCAGTGCATTGGGAATTTATTTTCAAAGTTCCGACTTTGAAAACACCGACCATATAATAAGAAGGAGGCAGTGCCACATCGAGATGCTGTCGACCGTGCTAACTGAGAGAAGTCCGTCAAGTCTGAGATCAACAGCCTGGCGGCCATCAAAAGGACAATTAGTCGAAGGAATCGGGTTTCTAACTGGTTCCGTTATCAACCCTTTTAACTCTTACATTCAATCTCTGTTCTCTACTAATAGCGAGAGCAGATTGCGTTCTTGGTGAATTCAAAAGCATATTCAGACGGTCAGGTTCGAAGAGAATTTAAATGATAACGTATCGTGTCGACGGAGCATCTTGAAATCACTAAGCCTAAGTCAACCGATTAATCTGATAAAGAGGTCTTACGATGTATCAGGCTTGGTGATAACGTTTTTCATTACTGTATGACTGTTCTTATTTGTTGCCTAACTGACCTCTCGAATTTCTTCCAGCATCAGCTCAGCTCAGCCACAGTCCCCGTAGTGATTAAGGTGTACGCTTTCCAAAAAAAAGTTACCAACTTCTACGTTCCCCAGGAAAAAGAGAAATGAGCAACTTGCTTTGTAGCTGCTTTCTTGACCTTTCTTGAGGGTGAGAATAGAGCGCCGTCTAATTTTCTTCCATTTCTTCACGGGACACTAAGCTCAAATTAAAGATGATTGTGACCAAGTGGCCCTATCCCGTCTTCTCATCATCGATGAATCACTATTTTGCAACAGTACGCCTTCGCTTCTTTGAAAACAATATATACATTTCAGATCCCAATGCTAAAGGAATCCGTCATTCTACTCTGCATTGGTTTCACAGCAGCAAATAGTGAGTTCCGATGTCCCTTCCTCCTCCTACCCTCTGAAATTTCGGGCTTGATTACGATGTCACCCCAAATGATCAGCTTTCTGGTAAAAACGGGGCGCAACTGATCTTTTGAGAGTCAAGTATCAGCAAATCTATGTTCACAACTTCAATCATGAGTGCCTCTCAGGAAGTGCGTTTCCGGTAGCTTACAGACACCAATGTCGGGCTAAGGAATTCTCTCCGGCTAACAGAATTTAGTGGTAAATGGCTTGTGGGGCATATATCTGTAGAATAGACCAAGTATGTCGTCACCAGTGACGAGAGATTTAGCCAGGAATCGCATTTAACAGTAGGTAGATTGCCTCCGTCATCGGGCTTCTCAGTTACTACAGAAGCTTGTGATACGGCTTTAGGTCTGAGCACACACCATAAGCAGCAATCATTATTTCAGTCTGCAATGATGGCACAGGTACATGGGCTTTCAGCCTTGTCGATGGTGTCACTGATTTCGCTTACGGAGGAGTTCAGCTGAATAACAAATACAACTGCTTCGAAGGCTGCTTGAATACTCAAACAGCGGTTCAAGATTTCAAAGTAACCGTCATGACCGCTACAGAGAAATTGCTCTGGTGAAATTAATAAATCACTTTGAGGTGGCTCTGAATGGTACCGTGCCACCGACGGCTTCAATGCCGATGGTGAAGCAGCGAAAGCTTGGACCCCGAGCAAATCGTCTTGCACGTGTGAAGAAAATGCAAGGTAAGTATACTGTCTGATGTAGCTCGGTCTTGTTGTGAACTGGTTATTGGAATTAGTAATGAAAAGTAACGATAACACCACAGCAAAGGGATAGGCATTGCTGCTGGGGGGATCACGTCAAAGAAAACTCGAAAAGAAAGACATCTCAAGTAGACGAACGAACTCTGAAAAGCCTTCTTTCGGGGTACAAGGAATATTTCCCGGAAATTCCACGGGGTCTACGTTTTTCTGGAATGTTCTAAAATTTCTAATAGAGTCACTAGATGGATACTGCTCACTTCTCAGCGCATCACAAGTCCGAGGATTTCACGATATCACAGATATCCTGGTAAATATGTCGAAACCACTGAAGTAGTTGGAGCAGTCGAAAATTGCCACAGCGTGACCATACCTTCGAATCTTTTTGTAGTCAGATCCTGTGTGCTTCTGACGTTTATTCTTGACAGCTGTTACTTTGCTGAACTGAGTAAAACTATTTGTGGAAGCGGTAAACAATTTGTGAAGGTAAACTAACAGATTTTGTAGCTGAACCAGCGCCTTTGAGTAAGTTCTGGGGATCTCAAAAAGCGGTTAGTTTATCATATTGATGTGTCCCACTTTGGTTAAGAAAATGTGTTAGTCATTTTAAAAGAAATTGGGTAATGTTTAGAGAGTGACGAAGATCCAAACGAAGAAACTTGTGCTGATCCACAGCTGAGGACCGACGTTGCCAACGCAATCAACAAGGTCACCGATCATTCGTGCAAGGTGAACATACTTCTTACCTTTCTGAGAACCAGCACTGGTAATGCTCCTACAACAGGATGAGCATCAAGCTGATATATGCTTCTGGACCCTAGTATAGTGCAGTTAAGTAGAAATGATCGAGTCCGATAATAAGTCACCACACTATTTGCCCTTAGCTAGCATTCTGAGATGGAAGTGTGAGGGAGAAATGCGATTATTCTAAAGGAGAGAGAACTCATCCTTGGAGGCGCTTCTTTGAAATAGTGGAAATTTTTAAATAGTAAGGCTGTCGAAGAAATTCAAGGAATGGTATTGGAAGTTTCCACGTAAGACGGATCTCCACGCCGTGTGCCTAATCCTCAAGTACTTCCGTTTCAATTCTTCCCACCTGCCTCCCTGTGATCATGAGACGGCCAACGATCTCCGTAGTAGTCGTTTGTTGACAGAACAAAGAAGCACTTCATGATTGAAAAGGTTTCTGAGATATTCTCCCGGGTGCAACAATGACTCAATGGTTGTATCCACTGCATCCCACACTCAGAGATAAACCTGTTTCAAAGATCTCGAAGAGGCAGCAACAGTCACAATGGAGCACACATACTGAAAATTCAAGCGACCAATAGTGACCCGTGGCGGCAGCTAAAGTCATTTTTCCTTACTATGGCCACTTCTTCACATGATTGCACAAGATTGAATCTCGTCCGTGTAGCCTTCCGTGCTACTTAGGGACGCATAAACTGGTTTAACACTTTTTTACTATTAGGTTGAGCCATAAATCCTCGGTCAATGTGATAGTGATGACCTCTAGAGATCATAACTCGGGAAAGAAGTGACCAAAATAGACGCGAGTGGCATCGTCAGATAGAGTATGAAAAGCTTTTCCAAATACATACTAACGTGTACACCTGACCATCTCCTGCGCTTGAGCATGAGGAGAGAAAGTGCCATGTTGGCGCGAAAATCCATGACATACTGCTTCAAAGCATGAGGCACCCATCGAC